GTGTGTGCCATCTAAGAAATGGTCACTCAGTGAATCTGAATAAATCACTGGTGAAGATTTAAAAGACTCGATTTACTGGGATGAATCAAAATCCACTACTTAACAGCTTAATTCAATGAAATTTAATTGAAAACAACGGCCTGTGCACATTCACAGATTTGGAACAACATTAGGGTGAGTAAATACATTTTATTTTATTTTATTTTATTTTAGTTTAGTTTAGTTTAGTTTAGTTTAGTTTAGTTTAGTTTAGTTTAGTTTAGTTTAGTTTAGTTTAGTTTAGTTTAGTTTAGTTTAGTTTAGTTTAGTTTAGTTTAGTTTAGTTTAGTTTAGTTTAGTTTAGTTTAGTTTAGTTTAGTTTAGTGAACTATCCTTTTGACTGAGTTTTTCAAAGATCTTTACATTCATGCAGTGCAGTGTGCTGTGGGCTCACATACCTGGAGTGAGATCCATGCCAGCTTTGTCATTGCACCCTTGAAGTGAGTCGAGCGTACGTGTCACCTGACTGGTGAAGTCCTCACCGCCATTCATGCACTCCCGCTGCAGGTGGTGGCGTAGGTCTGTAATGTCATACTCGTACCCGTCCAAGATCGGAGTCTCACGGATGCTGAGGGTGCCACTCGAATTGTGACCCTGCCCGCGCAAATTTCTCAAACTTTCCCGGGCCTGTCCACCCATCAGCACAGAGGGGATGTAGTGAATCTCATTGGCTGCTTCAGCACTAGCGCTCTTTTGTGGCTGAGGCACACGGCGACGTTTACACCAGCGTCTACGAGTGTACAGGATCAACACCAAGCACAGGATGGACAACAGAAGAGCAATCATACCACCCTACAGAGACAGAGAAAATGGGAGGGAGGACAGAAAATGGAAGAGAGGCAAATTTATAGAGAGAATAGTAAGATACTCCACTGCAATTCAAGAGAAGCCAGGGGATTGAAGAACCAGACTGAAGAAGAACATTGTGCATTTGCCCAGATTACTCCATCCACAAATAAATACTACTCAAATTATTCCATCCAAAATTATATATGAGGATTCATAATGTGTGTCAATCTGATTCAGGTATAGAGTGCTGCAGGGCTGATGAATTTTTTTAGGCCAAAACCCAGAAATGAGTTCACATTTTCGCACTTCCAATTCCATCGTCCTGAAGTCAATGGGTTTTTTGAATAGTTAAATGCCTGGTTGTTAGGTCTGGGGTTAACACAAGCTCAATATATTTTCTTGTTTTATTCTATGACATAAAATACATCAATAATACCCCCTTTTGTTTTTTAAAGCTTTTACTTGAAAAAGGCAGCTGCTAACAAGTGGCTAAATGGTACTACAGAGGTTGTCAGTGTCAATAAACGTCATCACACTGAACAGGTAAAGTCATCTACTCACTAGTCCGCTTTTACAGCCTCATTGTGTTTATAATAATGTTCTTTAAAACTATTCTAACTCAAACTTTTAGGGAAATTTATAAAAAAAAATTTTGGAAGCATAGTGATTGTGACAATGAAGTCACGCAACCGTGGTGCAGTGGTGTAAAGTATTTGAGAAAATGTATTTAGTTACTGTACTTAAGCATCTTTTTGGCTACTTTGTAGTTTTACTGAGTATATATATTTCCAAAATATATTAGCAACATTTACTCTCTACTTGACTACATTTTTTAATAAGTATATAAAGTATGCTTTACTCCACTACATTTGTGATGACTAATGAAATTACTCGTTACATTTCACATGGCACCTAACTTTTTCTACAGCAGTTTATTTCTGCTACTAAAGAAGCAATATCACCATCTACAGGACATCTTGCCCTTACTCACCCAAACTTGTCAACAAGGCTACTTTACACAAATTAGCAGGTATGTGACTCGCAGGTTTTTCATATATGAGACGAGGACATGGCTGAGACCTTTTTGAAGTATATTGGTTTACTTTATTTTTGTAGGCTTATGTTGGTTTATTGAGCCTATATTCAGTACGAGTAAAATACTTAAGTACTGTTAAAATCAGATACTCTAAGACAGGGCTGTCCAAACTCGGTCCTGGAGGGCTGGTGTCCTGCAGAGTTTAGCTCCAACCCTAATTAAACACACCTGAACCAGCTAATCAAGCTCTTACTAGGCATAGAAACTTCCAGTCAGGTGTGTTGAGGCAAGTTGGCGCTAAGCTCTGCAGAACACCGGCCCTCCAGGACCGAGTTTGGACAGCCCTGCTGTAAGACTTTTACTCCAGTTGTATTGGAATTGGTGGCTTGTAACTTGTAATGGAATCATATTTGTTGTAATGTATCTGTACTTTTACTCAAGTATGGTTTTCAGGTACACTTTACACCTCTGCCGTTGAATAATTTATTTATAGCCTAACTATAGTTCCTTTCAGTCGGTCACTCTCGACGTCACGTCGGATGACCGACGAATTGGGATCTCGCTTGGAGAGACCAATCTACTTTGAGTGTAACTAAACGAGCCAATGCACATTGGCATGCGATTATTGCATCCAGCTGCCGCTGATCACAGCGTGAGTATAAGTAGGCAGCTGGTGCAGCGCATATTCAGCTTTTCGCTTCGGAGCCGAGCGATTGTTTTGTTCTGCTCCTGACTACTGCTTCAGAGAAACTCAACGAGTTCAGCACACTCTAGGAAGCTCTGGTGCTGGCGGTATGGCGCTTCAGCGGCGGTGGTTCTTCCCATGTCAAGTGGATTGCACACATCAGGCTGCACTATCCCCTGTTTGTGTTGCAGGCGGACATCTCCCCTGTGCACTTCAGCACACTAAAAGAACAAATTCTAAAAGAGCAAACTCTAAAAGAGCATTCACGGGTGGACGTCTTTTGAAAGATGCCTTTCCACCCGTGCATTTCTGGATGCGATCGTTATTGTAACGATCGCTGCCTCACATGTCTGGGCATTAAACACGCTGAGGTGGCGTTCGCGAATGAGTCATGTTCCCATTGCGGGAGAATGACCGTCGCGGATTTGCGGACCAGGCTCCATTTCCAGCAGCCTAGATCTAGGGCTCCCCCTGGCGGCCGCCCGGGGGACGCTACTTCTGGCAGTAACCGGACTGGTCTTACGGTGACGGTGAGGAATTCCCATCCGAGGGCTCCTCCTTCCACCGGCACTTCGCAGCCAGTGGAGCCACTGAAAGAACAGGTTGGACCCTCTTGTGGGGTACCACTTGTATCCTTCGGTGCTCCCCCCGACGATCGGATGTCGATCGCTGCATCGGAGGGTGAGATGATGATCCGGCAGCGCTGCCACCTTCTGGGCGGCCAGCAATGCCGGATATGGATACGGAAATGGTGGCTATGCTTGCCCAGGCCAACGAGAAGATCGGGCTTGAGTGGAAACCTCCACCGCGTCCCGAACCCTCGAGGCTGGATGACTGGTTTCTCGGGGTGGCTCGCGCTAGTTCTCAGGGCCCCATCCCAGTGCCTTTCTTCCCGGAGGTGTATGATGAGCTCACTGGGTCGTGGACGGCACCTTTCACTGCCAGAAACCGCCCCAGTGGCTCGTCCTCCCTCACCACCTTTTGGCAACACAGTGGAGAACTTTGCCCAGCAGTTCTCCGCCGCACAGAAGCAGACTGAGGCCATCAAACACATCCTGCCCCGGCGTGCAGCTGCTGCCTCCACCCGGCCACCGGCAAAGCAGCACCGTGGAGCCGGTCGCAGGGCAGCCGCCCCGCCTGTCCAGGCCCCCGCCAGACCTGGTGGTAAGCGAAAGAGCAAGAGGCCCTGAGACGGGCGACCCAGAAATGGAGGGAGTTGCTCTTCGTGAGATGGTAAACGCACCACTCCCTCCCCCGGAGGAGGGCCGGGCGGAGAATCTTTTGTTTCATTTTTTCCCGCCGTTGGCCTCACGGCCGACGGTACCCAAATTCTCGACAAAAGAGCAGTTTCCTTTATCTCTGGGTCCCAGGAGGGCACGGAGAGTTGCGGACGGACTAACGCCGGACCAACGCCGGACCTCACTCATCCTCCTCCTTCGCCAGCCGGCAGCAGTGGGCGGCTGTAGAGCGTCAACAAAGGCCCTACTCACGCACCCTCTGCCAACCCCGTGGAACCAGGTCACTCCCTCCCCCGGAGGAGGGCCAGGCGGAGAATCTTTTGTTTCTTTTTTTCACGTCACTGACTTCACAGTCAGTGGTACCCAAAACCTCGACAAAAGAGCAGTTTGTTCTATCTCTGGGTCCCCAGAGGGGACGGGGAGTTGTGGATGAGCCAGTCTCGGATCACACTCACCCTCCTCTCTCGCCAGTGAGCAGCTGTGGGCGGTTCGAGAGTGTGGTCAAACGTACTACTCATGCACCCTCTGCCCGAAAGCAGGTGAGTGTTGCACACATGCTGACCCCGCTTCGGACCGGCAGTGAGACGCCCGGGCTGGGTCCCTGGGTTCCCCCTTGCTGCCCAACCGCGGGTACGTCGGTGGTTCCGTTGGTGCTCCGTCTTGTGTCAGACCATCAGACTCGGCTATGCGATTCAGTTCGCCCGGCACCCTCCCAAGATCAGGGATCAGGGGTTCACTTCAGTGAAGGCAGCAGATGCCCCTGTCTTGCGTGCAGAGATTGCAGTCCTACTGGCGAAAGATGCGATAGAGCGGGG